CCGGGACCGAATTGCTCATGGGCGACCTGTGGGACTACTAGCATGTTAGAACCATCCGCAGGGTCCCGTTTTGTTTGGCCGAGCATCACATCAATGTATGAGGTCTAGAAGGACAAACAGCCTCCCCTTTGTAGGGATTAGCTCAGGGTGGTGACTCCAGGTGAGTTGCCATGATATTTTGTGGTTTCCTATTTTTCAAAAGAAGCATTCATGGTGTTTCCCCTAGACAGCATGAACGACTTAAAATGGTCAAAACTTACAACCCACAAAGCAATCTGCACTCTGGGAAAAGATTCTGAGAAGGGACTCTTTGGGATGGGAACAAGAGGCACGTATTTGAAAGCAAGCGGAAGGCCAGGATTTCTGAGCACCCCCTGGCTGTCTTTTCCTGGGCCCTGGCCTGCGGCCGGTGCTGCTGTGGACAGCCCTGGGCTGAAGGCTCGAGGGTGGCCTGGCTGACTTGGCTGGGTGGGTGACTACTCCTGCTGGGACTGGCCAGGCTGTCGCTGATCCTTCCCCTCCCGATGCAGCCGCCCCTGCGGCCAGCTCAGGCTCAGGACCACCTGTGCTGGGCTGCTGCCCTCCTTCTTTTAGAGTCCACAGGCACCCAGACTTATTTGGGCCACTGCTCCTTTTTCAGGGGGGGAAAAATAGTGCTTCCCTGGCACTTAAAAATGTCTCTACTATCAAGGGTCATCTCAGGGAGCAGAAGAACCAGTCAGTGTGCAGTGTAGCAACGATGAAACATAAAAATTTCCTCTAGTTCTTAAATGCTTCCTCCACCCCACACCCCCCCACTATCATGATCCCAATTCTGCTTTACAAATCTGGCTAGACCAGAGGATGCAGACTGGTACAGATAGGAACTGGAAACACAGGAAATTCAGGGCGGATGATCCCTTCAGGACCAGTGGTGAGAGTGGTGATACTGGGAGGGTGGAGGGAAGGTGGGCTAAAAGGGGAAACTGACTACAAGGATCTACATATAACCCCCTCCCTGGAGGACAGACAACAGAAAAGTGGGTGAAGGGAGACGTTGGACAGTGTAAGACATGACAAAATAATAATAATTTATAAATTATCAAGGGTTGGTGAGAGAGGCGGGTGGGGAGGGAGGGAAAACACGAGGAGCTGATACAAAGGGCTAAAGTAGAAAGTAAATGTTTTGAGAATGATGATGGCAACAAATGTACAAATGTGCTTGACACGATGGATGGATGTATGGATTGTGATAAGGGTTGTAGGAGCCCCCAATAAAATGACTAAAAAGAAAAAAAAGTTACAGTCCCAAGGGCTCAAATAGAAAGCACATGCTTAGAAAAGGATGATGACAGCATGTATACAAATATGCTCGATACAATTGCTGTATGGAATGTTATGAGAGCTGTAAAAGCCCCCAATAAAGTGATTTAAAACAAAGTGACTTCTGAGGGGATCTGCTGGGTCAGTTCGATTCCAAACAGAGGTCTAATGGGATATGGTGACAGTTTGTCGTGGATTCCAAAGAGGTATTCTTGAGAGATTTTCTTGATGGACACGGGACCATCATGGCACCTTATTAGGAAGAAGTTTTAAGAAAATTGAAAAAGTGCATGGATGAGAAAAAGGGCAGGAAATTTGCACGGAAGGATATTTTTCATCACATCATCAAACCTGATCATTCTCAAGGGGAATTTCTATGAGATGTCTTAGAAGAATTCCCTTGGGAAGCCTTACCTTATCCACCCTACTGCCCTGATCTTGCCCTTCAGACTTCCTTTTGTTCCCGAGGAATTGGCTTGTTCTACAGCTGACCTCCTCCAGCTGTGGAAGGGGGAGGGAAATCCTACTCCCTATCTGACCAAAGATGATGCGTAGGAGGCAGAAGTCAGACATGCCTCCACCCTCCACCTTCCTCGCCTGTTCTGACAACAGCCTTTCCTCCTATAGCACTCGGCTTCTCTTCCACAGTCAATAGTCAGTGCAATGGCTTGTACAGAACACCCAGATGTCTTTTTTTTTTTTTTAAAGGGACGTGAACAGGTTTCACAACATTAAGGATACAAGTCTTTTGTCCTCCACACCTCTTTTTAGCTAGGCCAGCACACATGTCCCTTCTTAGTCCTGGCCTCTGCAAGTATTTCAAAGCTCCTTTGGTGCTGATAACTGCCCACCGTGTATCCTGCCCTGCAGGCCTGCCTCACGGCCCCAGTGCTGCTCCTCGGTCACTTCTCCACACAGGATCACAAGTGTACTTCCCTCCTGAGTCTTCTCTCGCTGACCACGAGATTCACTGTCCCCGCTTCTGAAATGGCTCAGTGGAATGGCAAAACTGACCGATCCCATTCACTAGAGTTTCACATAGCGAATTTGCATGGTCTCACCCAATCATTTGTTGGGAGTTACAAAAACGATGGATAGAAGAGCTATACTAAGTAATTTCACGTCACTGCAATTCCCCAAACTCTAAGGACTTTGAAAAGGAGCATGACTTGAGTCCCTCGGGATGCCAACCCTGCCATTTTGATGTGGTGTCAATCGGAGAGCTCAGGACCCTGGGGGAAGGGTTAGAGAGAGACATGGGAAGACCACCCTCAGGAGGGCAGAGAACTAGGTGGGGGCCGTGCTAGGAAACAATGACATCTCATTTTAGGAAGTTTGTTAAAACAGAGTTCCATCATTTTGTAGCAGTACAGGGAGGGTGGGAGGCACTGAGGCAACCATTTTTGGAAGATAGAATTTGCTACCTTGTGTCTGAGCCATTCATCCACGTGCTTCCTCGTACTTGTGTTCCTTGTTTGCTTGTTTTCAATGGCTACATAGTATTCCATGGTCGGTGCACCTACTCTATGTAGCCATCGACATTTGTATTATTTCCAATGTGGGGCTATGAGTATCCTTATTACAAGTCTTGGCCAACAAAGGCTGCCTTCTATCCTAGTTGCTGCCTCTTTTTTAAATGGAAAAACAATCCTGTAGTTCTTTTGACATTTCTCACCCCTCCCCACATCAGGGATGTAGCCAGACATGTTTCCATGTGCAAATCTCCATTCGTGTTTCTAAAATGTCTAAAAGAAATTATGTGTTACAAATATATATTCCCTTTATACACTTTAATGTTACAATTAAGATTAAACTTTCTTACCAAGGGCTCCAGTAGAAAGAAAATGTTTTGGAAATGATGATGGCAATATATGTACAAATGTGCTTGATACATTTGATCAATGGATTGTTATAAGAGCTGTAATGATTTATTAAAATTTTAAAAAGAGAAGAGTTATAAAAACAAAAACAAAAAGATTAAACTTTCTTCTGACAATTATGGGCTCGTCCAGAGCTTTTTATTCATTTATTTTTTTATAACAGTTTTATTACCACTTCACCCACACGTCATTACAATTCAATCATTCAATCTTATCAAGAATGTTGTACAATTATCACCCCACTAGATTTTAGATTTTCTTCTTCCTTGTACTCATTGTTATTCGTGTAATTCTTCTAATTGTGGCAAAAGTATACACAACAAAGCCTTCTCCAATTCAACAGCTTCTGCATTCCGAGCTTTATGGGATGCACTTATGTACATATGCTTTCTCATTTAAAATAGTCTTTATGAATGGACTGCTCAAATATCAGTGTCCACAACCAGGAGACCAGAGGTAGTGCTCTGAGAAGGATCATGTTGGAAGGTCCTAGAGAGAGTGCGAGCAAACTGGGAAAGGATCCAAACCCCAACAGAATCTAGGTCAGCTAGAGACATACGAGAACTTCAGATGATGGCCTTGACCCTTGGTCTGAGCTGCACTCACCCCCACGTTGTTGTTGGGAGGGGCCGCTGGGTCAGTTCCAGCTCACAGTGACCCTGAGTCCAACAGAAGGAGGCACACCCCGTCCTGTGCTACCCGACCGCCCTTCCTGTTTGAGCCATTGCCACAGCCATCACATTGCGTCAGTCCGTCGCTGCCCCTGGACTTTACCTAGGGCCTCCTCTCCTGAGAGCACGTCCAGAGTACATGACACCAAGTCCCGCCGCCACCCTTGCTTCTAAGGAGTATTCTGGCTGTACTTCTTGGAGGAAGAAGTGTTGCGGGTTCGAATAAATGACAGCCACTATAATGTCTTGATAATTTAGAAGAGTCTTCATTCAGTTATAACCAGACTGCTATGATCTAAAAGTGATTCTCTGATTGCAGCCCCAAGTGGGCGTCATTCCACCTTTAAAGACAAGTCTAGGACTTAAGCAAGTGTGGACAGAAGCTGAAAGCAAAAGTAATGTTACGATTCCATTACAGGGTGCAGTATGGATTATAACAACCTGGTTTCTGGCTACAGCATCCAAAGGAACAGTATTATTAATTACAATGTTCTGATCTCGAGAACATGAGAGTAGATTCTAAAATCAATCACTAGTGGGACTAGGGGGGGATGGGGGGAGGGAGACAGGTCATTCAGCAGCTAACAAAACGGAGTTTCTTTTGCTAGTCTGCCTCAGAATTACCTGTGCATTAGAATAATCAAAAGCATTTACCCAAGGACAGAATTCTTTGGGTGAGGAAAAGGGGAATGGAAATGGGATAAGCGGGGATTCACCAAGGGGATTTCCACGGATGAGCTGAATCAGAATGTGTGTGAATTGTTGAATGTAAAATGATGGTCTGCTCTGTAAGCCCTCACCTAATTTACAATAGACGTTTAAGAGATATGTACTGTTTTATATGTGTGTGGATTTTATATGACATATTCCTCGTCAATCCCCTTTCTCATTCCACATCTTAGAACGATGGCCATGGAATCATACGGAGAGCTACCATGTCAGGTTTTACATTGCCAACCCATGCCCTGCACATAGAGTCGTCTTCCTGCGGAAGGGCATTTAGGTTGACTCGTTGAATACTGGTTCATGCAGGTCCCATAAGGCCTTGCTCACAAACACCGCAGGACTTGATGCATCTGGGAGTGGTCCTGCAAAGGAACATCGTCCTGGACCTGTGCCCCTCAGTGTCGCTTGTCTTTCCCCACAGAGACGTCTCCGGGAGGCTGTGCAGCTGCTGGAGGACTACAAGCATGGGACCTTGCGCCCTGGGGTCACCAATGAACAGGTACATCTTCCAGGCTGGGTGCGATGGCAGGTGAGGGGTTGGGGAGATGCAGCCATACCCCCCTCTCTTCCCTTAGCAATCCCTTCTGCTCCTGTGGCATTCTCCTGTGGATTTCTGGCTCGTTGAAAGAGATAGTCAGAGTCCCTCCTGAATCCTGGGTATGGTGGGAAGCATGGGCGGAGGAGGCAAGAGCCCACAGGACGTGCGAGAGCAGATTAGGTGTGCGTCTCTTTCCACCTTCAACTCCAAGGACAGCTTGGAATCAGTCCGCTGTGATGGGAATATTTACATCATGAAAAGTGCAAACCATTGGCTAACGTCAGAATGTTTCTTTACGTTCATAGGCTACAAAGAGTTCAAGTTAAAATTAATTAATTAATATTATTTATTTCCTCCCAAGCAGTGCAGCTGTGTAGTTAAAAAGTCAGCCAGGACGCATACACTTGTCAGAGCAAACTATCACTTAGTTGCCCGCTGCCCGTTGCTGTTGCCAGAGGGAACTACTCGGAGATGTGTTTTCCTTTCTGTTTTTTAGCCAGAGATCTATAGTTAAAACAAATATACTTACTCCCTCCCCCCACCCCCCATTTCTCAATTTGATGTTTTTGAATGATCTGTGGTGGTGAATGAGGACTGTTATCTTATTTAAGACACTCAAAACTCCCTGTCATCAAGTTGCTTCCACCTCATCGGGACAGGGTCGCACGGCCCTGTGGGCTGGTCTGAGACGACCTTCACAGGGATAGCACACCTCCTAGTTCCCATGTGGGCGCCGTGGGTGGATTCGAGCTGCTAACTTTTCTGTTAGCAGCTTAATGCATTACCTCCTACACCAGCAAGTTTCCTCGTTACCCACCCTGTAAACACCCTCCCCCCCTCCCAACATAGTGATCATGGTGTTTGGATCTCTCAGTATTTGGTATCATATGAGTGCAATTATATAAATGGTATATACTTGAGACTCCATTGCTTGTATCTGGGTTATATTTCTTCTCTTCTTTCATCGTATGTCTTATCTGGAGTAATAGGTGCCTCGTTTTTTCATTAGCAGAGTTTCCCTGGTACAGGCTCTCCATTCTCACAGAACCTTCCAGCAGACTGCTGGTAGTCTAGGTCCCTCCCGTCAGTCGGAAGATTCCTCTTTCAGTTCTACTTTTTGCCCCGTGAAATTTTTTTTCTGTGTCCCAAGCTCCAGGTCTTCCTTGTTTTTTGTGCTTCATCTTAATTTTATTAGAGCACCTCTTGTTGGGGTGATTTCCTAAGGAAAGAGTAGAGGGGAAGAAAATGTTTGAGCCCTTTTATATGTAAAATATTGTAATTCTGCCCTCATCCCTCCTTAAGCTCAACAGAGGAGACCTTTAGAAATGGACGATCATTGTCCTTCAGAATTTCGAAGCGATTTCTCTATTGTCGTCTGGGTTTCGGTATAAAACCATCACCAGCTTCCATCGAGTGGATCCTAGCTCACGGCAACCCCGTGGGTAGCTGAGGAATCAGACGCCACTTCATTCCTGAGCCTTGGGAATCTGTACGCACTTCCTTTGTTCTGTGGAAATTCGTTTCCGAATCTCAGTTCATTGCTTGAGGTTCTTGATGCCTCCTTGCAATCGGAAGACTCCTGGCGGGAGGGGGAGGAAAGCATAGAACAAAACTCCCAGCATAGAAAGACTGGGCCTGATGCGGAAGCAAAAGTGGCGGAACCCTTGAGGCTGCGGTCCTTCAACTTCCTTCCCGAGTAAGAATGAACTCGCCCAAGGGCTCAATCTTCAGCCAAACCACAGACAGAGCTACGAGGGGAACAACCGCCTGGAGAGGCCCAGTACCTTCGAATCATCCACGAGTGGGGTCAAAGGGCAGCAATTACCAAGGACAAAGCTCAGAAGGGTCGGCAAGGGAGGAGGAACGGACAAGGGAATCGGAGGGAAGCAGTGGGAGACTGCAGTAGATGAGATGAATAAGATGTGTGTGAATTGGTGAATGGAAAACTGATCTCGGCAGGCCTTCACGCAACTCACAATAAAAAGTTTGAAAGAAGGTGACAGCCTAGGAGACTCTATGGGGCAGTTCTACCGTGTCCTGTAGGATTGCCATGCGTTGGAATTGGCTCGACCACCCCCACCAACGTGGGCAAGACAGCTGAGGGCTCAGAGACTAGCCCACAGGCACACAGGTGTCGGGCAGAGATTAGGAACTGGGCCTATTAGACCCTGATGGCCATCTTTTCCCTGCCTTCTAAAGGTGAATTTGGAAGGGAGTTATAGAGTGGAGTAATGTGCACAAGGATCCGGAAGCAGAAACAAGGGAGTGGGGTGTGGGTGTGGTTGGAGGAAGTTGGCAGTTGTGGAAGCTCCAGTCATCCGTGGGCACCCCAGGCAGTGGAAGTTTGCTGAGCACCCAGTATTAAAAAAAGGTGCTTTCGTCTGTGAGCATCAAGCAGGAGAATATGTGTGAGTCCTAGGGCCCACCTCCAGTTTGCAGTACAGACAGGGAGGCCACACAGGCTCCTAAGTGGGTGCTCAGAGGGCAGACTGGTGGCCAGTCTGTGTGGAGCCCATCTGAAGGTTTGGAGGAATATAGAGGTGAGAGAACCCTGAGAAAAGTGATGGAGGGAGAATACAGCTGGGCTCTAAAAGGCAGTGGATTGTAGAGGGGTGCTAAGCAGTTGATGGGTGTGGGGTACCCCCTGTAACTCACAAAGACTGAGAGAGGAAGAGAGAGGGCGAAGATGAGATTGGAGGGAGGAATTAGAAAGTTACAGGGGTGAGATGCTGGATGTATTGTGTGGGGCAATAGGGAGCTAAGGTAAGCTCTTAAGCCAGGGAGTAGCCTGAAGGTGGTGCTGTGGAAGGGGAAGGTCAGTGTCAGTGTCAGGGGCCAGGGAAGAGTATGCGATGCTGTAGAAACCAGCTGGAAGCTCCGGAAGTAATCTAGGAGGGCAAGAAGCCGGCCTTGGGGATTGCTGGAGGCTTCCGAATGGCCGGTGTGCTGGTCTATCAGCCCACGCTCTCCATAGGCTGGGAACCAGCCAACCTCTGCCAAGTGTCTATGCTGCACCTGGTATAAATAACCCCTCCACTGTTCCAGGTACCGTGTGGCTGGCTTCTGCCCGTGACGTGCCAAGGAAAAAGGGCAGCTGGGTTGTCAAAGACGCTGCATGGCAAGTCTCCTCTGGCATGAGGTCAGGCATGCAGGGGCTTTGCTGAAAATACCAGGGTCTTAGGGGCATTTTGGAGCCCTGGTGCCATCATGGTTGCTGCTATCCAAATGGTTGGCAGTTCAAAACCACCAGTAGTTCCGAGGGAGAAAGACTGGGCTTTCTGCTCCTGTAAACAGTTACAGGCTTAGAAACCCGCAGGGGGTCGCTGTGGTTGGCATTCGACTCGGTGGCAGTGAGTTTGGTTTGGGTCTTTGGGGCATCTACTCTCCAGATCTTTGGTGGGGTGTGTCAGCAGTGCTGGTGCCAGTAGATGGACTCGGGGTGCAGACCACACTGGGTGACAGTGTCACAAGAGGTAACACCAAGTGGCTGACTGTCTACGTAATTTTTATGTAGTCTTCCAGCAGAAATTGATGATTTTAAAAAAATCAAAATATCTCTGTAGTCAGTTATTACAACAAAAACATTTCTCAAAAGCCAACTTCCATATATCACTGTATCTACAAGATGAACTTTAAGCTAATTTATTTTCTGACTCTTTTAACGTGCTCCTGTCAGGGCTGTTATTATTCCTCAGTTACAATGAGACTTTGAGTTCCATGGTGTCGTCTGCCTGTTCTACGAGCACACACTGTTTTAGTCCCTCTGGTGTGTCTATAGTCGCTGATTTTGTCAAGCATTCTGGTGGTTGAGCTACAATATTGTGATAATTAGTATTTGTTAACCTAAATCAATAACTTTTTTGAGAATGAAGTAGCAATGGAAAGAAAAAGGGAATGATTTAAAGTGTCTTCCACTCTGTTAGGGATCATGTTGTCATTAATAATGTGGTAATCAAACGTAGAAAGATTTCACACAATCATTTTGTTTTCAGTCTAACCTAAGGCACATTAAATTTAAGCAACTTATAACTATATTTATCACATGTTATTCTATGATTTAGGATTGGTAATAAACTACTAAAGATTCCATATGATCTGGTACAGCCAACTTGATACAAAACCTTCATGATTGCACCCTGAAAACTTGACACAAAACCTTCATGAACACACCCTGAAGGAGCCCGGTGGCATTGTGGTTACGCATTGGGCTGGGATCCATAAGGTCTGCAGTTGAAGACCACTGCCTGCTTCAGGGGAGAAAAACAGGGATTTCTATTCCCGTAAAAATGTACAGTCTTGGAAACTCACAGGGAAGGTTCGCCCCTGTTCTGCTGGATCATTAACAGTTTGGTTTGGGTTTTGGAATGAAGAGTAGCACCCTCCTCTCCAGCCACGACAACCGAAAATGCCTGCAGATTTCCCCAGTTATCTTCTGGGTAGAAAATCAACCTCCTGTTGAGAACCACTGTTCTACTAAACTCTGTGTGCCCCACCCCCCACCCCCACTCCCTCCATCCTGAGTCAAAGCCAAAATCCTTAACATAGCTTGTGTCTCTCTGATCTTATCATCTACTATTCTCTTTATCCAATCAAGCAGACCTCCTTACTCAAACACGGCAGGCAGGCTCCGTGCTGCCTCTAGGCCACTGGTTCTCAACTTCCTCATGCCGGCACCCTTTCATACAGTTCCTCATGTGGTGGTGAACCCCCAACCATCGAACTATTTTCGTTGCTACTGCATCACTGTCATTTTGCTACTGTGATGAATCAGGCGACCCCTGTGAAAGGGTCGTTTGACCTCCAAAGGGGTTGTGACCCGCAGGTTGAGAATCGCTGCTCTCGGCCTTTGGGCTGGCTGTGGGGTCAGCACGGGCTTCCACCGGATAGCTGTATAGCTCACCCCCTCCTTGGGGTATTTTTCCCTCCACCATCACCTTCCCTTGAGGCCTGACCTGGTGACC